TAGGTTTTTATCTGGGACTCTCCACCATTTGACCTTAGAACTGAAGAAGCTTCTCGGATGAGAGGTGAAACGTCTTCAAGCAACTTAAAGAAGTCCAGACACTTTTCTTTGCAAGCTCCTTTGACAAGCTTTACTGTGTTGCTATTTAAAGGATCAGTAACTGATTGGCACTGACCTGTCAGATGATCCCCCACGAGCTGGATGACCGTCTGTCGATGCATCAGCTCCCAGAGTCCATCAGTAGCGAGGACCAGGAACTTGTCTGCAGGTCCAACACAGTGTCGGGTGATTTCTGGCTCAGTGCTCAGATAGGGTGGGGTCAGGTAGTGCGGCGGCATCGTCCGGACCGCCTCACTGACCGCAGACAGGACGTCCGGTCGAGTTTCATAGACCCGACTCAGCATATCCGCGCTCCATTTGAAGCGGACGTCACCGAACGCCCGGAAGGGCAGCAACAGGCCCAGTAGGCGGTCGTGGCGGATCACCGTCCTCTGCTCCGCTGGGTGCTCTCCCAGAATCCTTTGCAGCTCTTCGGGATTCTGCGCATTGTGGTCATTGGTGAGGTTGATCGCAGACCAGCTTCCGTCTGCCTCCTGGACGCCCAGGACTGCCCGACTGTCCCCCAGGTTGGCCACATGTAGAACGCCGTTGGAGATGTGGACGACACAGGCTGTGCAACCAGAGAGCGCCACCCGGAGGGGGGAGGTCAGAGACAACCCCTCTCCAGGGAAAGACACCTGCCTGTGGGCACAAAGAGAGGCTTAACCTGCTGAAACAGACTCACCTGCAGGTTCTGCTGAAGAAAACACAACTTTGTTCTTACCTGGGGGAGGTCAGGGACAGATGCACCTGGGCTTCTACAGACAGGTCGTAGTCAAGGCGATGGAACGCATTGACCAGAGCTGATGTCGTTCTGTTGTCATCCTGCAGCCAATCAGAGAGAACAGATAATGATGTCACCACAGGTGAACTTTCTGCTGAAACCAAAACAGGAAAATCGGTTTCTGAAAAGTCCACCTGCACCAGGTTGAGACCAGGTAAAGGCTTTGACATTCAGGCATGTTTTGGGGTTTTTTTTGGACCTGCACTGTCCGTGAATGTGATTCTGTGATGTGTCAGGACACCTGGTTACCTCCTCCTCATCCTCCTCCTCGGTCTCCAGCCTCTCCTGCCAGTAGTTCCGGAGGCTATGGAAGGACGTCACCTCTCCATTGGGGTAGCTCAGGTCTTGGGGGTATTTATGCCATTCCAGCAGTGGTGTTACGGCCCGTTCCTCCTCCACCGCCCGTTCCAGCTCCGCCAGTGTCCTCAGCGGCAGCGCTGCCACGGCAATGTAGTAAAAGAGCCTCTGACTGACAGCGTGGGCGCAGGCCGGCCCTGTGTGACCGTCGAACACGCCAAACAACACGCCTCCACGGCCCGCTAGGCAGGTGGCGCTGCTCTGACGGTCCTCGCAGGGGAGGTTGGATGGCAACATGTTGCTATGAAAACCCAGAACGCCATGGGAGGCGGGGCCTCTGGGGAGGGTAAGGCTGTATTCATTGGCCTGGAAACAAACAGTCATTAAGATGTGTGACATCACGAGTTAACGCTTTCAGAGTCTGATTTTTGTCACCTTTAAGATCCGGTCGACCTGAGCGGAATTTATCTGCCCCGCCTCCTGTCCCGCCCTCAGCTTCCGGCTCCCACTGCTTGCTGAGTAATGGAGTCTGTGCAGCTCAGGTGGATGGGGAGGAGGCAAGGACAGGAAGCAGCACTGCTGCAACCTGCAGCATCCAGTATGGAAGGCGGTTCGCCCCAACATGGCATGAAGGCTGGACCTGCAGAAGGATCAGAGCATTTTGGTTTTCAGGTGTCTAAAGTTTGACATCCCTACATGACCACTGGTGAAGGCCATTAGTGACTTCCTGTTCCACAGGAGGCGCCCTTGAGCTCATGCAGAATGAATGGGACTCAGTGGAGCTGTTCATGACTCTGATGGAAAGGCTCGGGACATTAGCTACTGTTCTATTCTTTGATGTTTCTACTGAAGTTTCTACTTTTTGTGCATATCATGGATGTTAGAGCATCACCAGTCACTTTACTGCATCCTCCATGTTGATTTGGGGCATGAAGCCACCAGTGGCCTCACGATAGCTTCACATTCAACCACCACAACCAGCTGCTTCTTCTGCTGCACTTTGGCTACACTCCTGGCATCTGCCAGAGGTATCGTTTAGAAACAGGCGCCATCGAGGGACACCGACGTCCTGCCCTAACTGACCAATCAGCAGGCAGCAGAACACTGAACTGATTCAGCTTCACGGAGAAATAAAATAAATACAATTCTAGAAGCAGCTGGAAATCCTCAGCTCAGAGTGCCCCCTGCTGCACCACCAGCTGAACTGCGGCCAGTTTTTTGGAATAGACAGGAAGTAACAGCAGCTCTGTTCAGCAGCTTTTTCAGGTGAATTGTGGTTTTCAGAGAGTGACATCAAAGGATCAGCAGAAGAATCAGAACAGTGACCAACAAACAGATTCATTTATCACACCGAAAATAAATAAATCACTGTCCTGTGACTCTGAGGTTTGGCTCTAACCCAGAAACCAGGTTTAGTTAAACAGGATCAGCTGACGGTCAGCTGACGGTCAGCTGTGGTTCCGGTGGAAAGTTTTGACTAAGCACGACGCTGAAACTCACCCTGTCTGCCTGACGTCTCGTCTTCCTGATCACTCCTCCCGCAGCTGCGTCTTTGTTCCTGTGACCTTTGACCCTGCTGGTGACGCGCTCATCGATCAGTTACCTGTAAACCATCCTCTCACTTTCAGCCTGCTCAGTGTGGCACAGGCTTCATTCTTCACCATATTAAACATGCGAGAAAGCAGCCAATGTGTTTAATTACCTGAGGGGGAGGAGGCGGGGTCGCCAGCAGCTCTCAGGTCTGTCTGTGTGCAGGTGTTTTGTGCAGATCAGACACTGTTGTGCGTTTCATTCTTCATAATCGTGTCAGACAGCAGGCTGTTCCCACTGACCGTACACAAAACCTGCTCAGGTTCTCCTGTATCGGCGCACAGGTGAGTTCAGCACAGGTGAGCCAGAACATCAGCTTTAGGCTAAAGGTGAGTAAACAAGGTGTGTGTGTGTCTGTTTATCAGTGTGTGTGAGATTATCAGTGTGTGTGTGTTTATCAGTGTGTGTGTGTTTATCAGTGTGTGTGTGTGTGTTTATCAGTCTGTGTGTGTGTGTTTGTTTATCAGTGTGTGTGTGTGTTTATCAGTGTGTGTGTGTGTGAGATTATCAGTGTCTGCGTGTGTGTGTCTGTGTATCAGTGTTTGTGTGTGTTTATCAGTGTGTGTGTGTGTGTGTTTATCAGTGTGTGTGTGTGTGTGTTTATCAGTGTGTGTGTGTGTGTGTGTCTGTGTATCAGTGTGTGTGTTTGTTTATCAGTGTCTGCGTGTGTGTGTCTGTGTATCAGTGTGTGTGTGTGTTTATCAGTGTGTGTGTGTGTGTGTTTATCAGTGTGTGTGTGTGTGTGTGT